TTCTCAATATTTGTTACATGCTCCTATATTCCACCTGGCTCTGATTTAATAATTTATGAGCACCACCTGTCTGCGATAAAATCTGTTCTATCCCTTCTTTCTAACAGTGACCTTTTGATTGTTTTGGGTGACTTTAATCGCCCTGGTATTTCTTGGTCTCCTCCTACTGACTCACTAGTCGCTATACCTCTATCCGCCCATGATTTTGTTGATGGTCTTCTAGAATTATCGTTACAGCAAGTAAGCTTTATACGGAATTCATTAAATAGACAACTAGATCTTGTGTTTGTTTCAGACCCGTCTGAAGTCACGGTATCTAGAATTGACGCTCTTGTTGTACCTGAAGACCGATATCATCCAACAATGGAATTGACAATCTGCCTCCCATGCGTTGATACCCTCTCTCCTTTAGTTTCTCAAACTAAAGTGAGATGTTTCCGAAAATGTAACTTTAAAAAACTTAACGACATGATTTCTCAATATAATTGGACAGAATTGTACAATTGTATGGATATTGAAAGCGCCACTGAACACTTCTATATAGTTGTAAATACCTTTTTTAATGAATGCGTTCCTGATAGGTTTCCTTCAAAGACAAACAGGCCACCTTGGTTTACCAATGCGCTTCAAAGACTTAAAAACCTTAAGACAAACACTTATAAAAAGTATAAGAAATCGGGTAAGCCATCTGATTTTTCGAAATATGTGGTGGCTCGATCGGATTTTAATGTTCTTAATAGTCATTGCTATTCTATGTATTTAAGTCGATGTAAATTTGAATTTTCAAATGATCCGAAGCAGTTTTATAACTTTGTCAATGCCAAGCGTAAGTCGTCAGCATTGCCTTCATCGGTACGTTTTAACTCAATGGAGGCATCGACGGATTCTGAAATTGCTGATTTATTTGCCGAGTTTTTCCAAACTACTTATAGTTCGGCTGCTTGGTCAAATTCTAACTACCCTAATCCCTTAAATAAGGCAAATTGTATCTTTACCCCTGAAATTACGGAAATTTCTCTCGTAAGAGACTTAGAAAAAACAACGCCAACTTATTCTCCCGGTCCTGATGGACTCCCCGGGTGTGTGCTTAAGTTTTGTGCGTCAACCATATGTAAACTGATTCTTAAACTTTTTAATTTGTCTATTTCATCGTCAGTTTTTCCTACTATCTGGAAGGACTCTTTTATCATTCCACTTCACAAAAAGGGTGCGAAGGCGGATGCCCAGAATTACAGAGGTATTTCTAAATTGTCGGCAATTCCTAAAGCATTTGAACGTATTATTACTTCTCATTTGCAACATTTATGTTCCTCGCTAATATCACCGTGTCAGCATGGTTTTGTTAAGCGAAGATCGACTACCACCAACCTTCTGGAATTGTCATCTATTGTAATAAATGGATTTAAGAATAAAATGCAGACTGACGTTATATACACTGATTTTAGTAAGGCCTTTGACTCTGTCAACCACTCTCTTCTCTTATTCAAATTAAATCAGCTTGGGTTTCCATGTAATCTATTAACTTGGATTTCAAGTTATTTGAATGGTAGGACTCAGAGGGTTATATTCAAGAACGCTGCCTCAAAACTGATCTATGTGACATCTGGAGTGCCTCAGGGTAGTCATTTGGGCCCTTTGCTGTTTACTTTGTTTATTAACGATCTTCCCTCTATCATAACACACTCTCGTGTACTAATGTATGCTGATGATGTTAAGCTTTGTTTATCACATAATGATATAGCGTCGGGTTTCAACTTACAGTCAGATATTGATTGTTTTCAGGGATGGTGTGAGTATAACCTTTTAAATTTGAACTGCCTTAAATGCAACGTTATGACTTTTCATAGAGGTACTCCTACTTTTGTTAGTTACTCTCTTCAAAATACGCCACTCGACCGTATATATTCAGTTAATGACTTAGGCGTTCTTCTGGACCCAAAACTTAAATTTGACTGCCACATAATGTCCACTGTCAGCAAGGCCATGAGTGTTCTTGGGTTTATAAAGCGTTGGTCAAAAGAATTTGATGACCCTTATACAACCAAATTATTATTTACCTCCCTTGTCCGTCCTATTTTGGAATATTGTTCTTCGGTTTGGAGTCCACAATACCAAGTGCATATTGACCGTATTGAGTCGGTACAAAAAAAATTTCTTCTTTTTGCCCTTCGTAGTTTGAACTGGGATCAAAACATAAGGCTACCTTCCTATCAGAGTAGATTACTATTGCTTAATTTACCTACCCTTGCAAATCGTAGAACAATGCTTGGTACTATTTTTATGCAAAATCTTATAAGAGGTGATATTGATTCTGTAGAACTTGTAAACCGCCTAACTTTCAATGTTCCTGTTAGACTAACACGAAATTATTATCCCCTAAATTTGCCACGATGTACATCTAATTTTTGTCTGCACGAGCACTTTCGCGTTCTATGTAATAATTATAACAACCTTTATCATTTAATTTGCACTTCAACTTCTATCCCGGTATTAAAAACTAATATTTTAACTCATTTGCTTCATTCTTAGATGCTTCTTTTATTTTCATTTGTGTCCCGTCTCTATTTGTTTTTTGTATCTTCCTCGCGAACTCGTATTTTTTGCCCAAATTGATAAAAGGGCCCCGCGCGTAACAAGCACGTGCTTGGTGTCGTTGGGCCACTTGTTTGTACTGCTCGTAGTGCATCAACGTCCATCATATATTATCAAAATCCGATTCGTTTTGGCCAAGTAATGGGCTTTTAAAATTTAAAAGGAGGCCCATTTCAGTAAAACTTCGCAAATTAAAACCAATGACATAAGAACGGGGAAAATGTTGACTACCTTTAAAGTTTAATATTTTTATTCAGATATCGGCATAATCGTTCCACAAGCCCATAAGGGTATGCCATCGAAATCCGATTGCTTTTGACCATGTTATGGGCTTTTAAAGTTCAAAAGGATGTCCATTTCTCTAACCTTCGCAAAATTAAAATCTATGACATAACAACAGTGAAAGTGTTGACTATCTTTAAATTTAAATATTTTTATTTAGATAACAGCATAATCATTCCACAAGTCCACAAAGGTATGCCATATCGAAATCCGATACCTTTGGGCCAAGTTATGGGTGATCGTACCCAAAGGTGCTCAAAATGACCACACCAGTAGCACCCACTACAGATGAGAATTGCTGATCAGCATATTATATGTCTCACTAACTCACCGTCTCACCGAATCAACGGCACACTGACCCGCCAATGCAGTCAGCACATTTTGCAGTGTCAGCCGAGCCAACTACGCAACTTCTACCATAATCAAAATTCCCTGACCTACTGTAGCATATAGCTTACTTCACGAATCGTTACACTAAACTTTCGTGTTCCAAGTAGTATATAAACATGTATCAAATGAAGAATAAAACAGTTGTCAACGCATCTCATAACTCCGCGGTTCTACTTCCTACCTCTGGGAATGGGGCTCGAAATACACTATCTCCACTAGCAGCTAACCTACGTCAGCTCAACCTCAGCGCAGTTCCGCATCGCCTGTGGTCCGGCTTTGCAGTAACCATCGTTTCCGCGACGCGATCGTCCTGCCAGCAAGGCGTCCCCGTGCCAGCGACAAGTGCTCATTACCCCCTTGTCCCACGGTGTGACCAGAAGTGTCCTCATCACTGCTCAGACTCTGGTTGACTGTCCAGGCGTAATGCGAGGACTAAGTTGTGAAAGATATAAGCAGATCGCCTTGACCTAGCCATGTCGTGCCCTCTGGACCTCGGCTACCTGTGTTTCAATTCGGAGATTCCTGGCGTCCCAATCCCGAACGTCTCGACGTAGCGATCTTGCTTCTTGTAGGCTCCCACGGCGCTGTTCCGATGACTTGGCTTGTTGTGGTTTATTTTGTGTACTGACTTGTTCACTTTGATATCTTCACTGATCTTGACGGATTGACTACTCGTGATCGACTTATCCCGCTGCCAGCACTCTGCGGCCTTATATAGGTACTTCGGGAACGATATTTCCCATTGGGACATGACCCGCTGAATCTCTCCACCCCATGTGCAAGGTCCGTGGATCCTGTTTAACCCACTTGTCCTTCACGCACAGCTTCAAGCTGGAGTTCTTCCTATTGCTGCCGCCCCGCTGGCTCTCATGATCTATGTGGCACGCCTGTGTGCCGCTCCGCTGCCGAAATGTGGCACTTCCTCTCCTGGTCGAAAGTTCACGTCAGGGTCCAAAGTCCGGTGGAGTTCCGTTATTCCATTTTGCACACGGCACTCTCGCTCTGCCCGCCAAGTCTCCACTCGCCTATTCTCCGCACCTTGGTCTCCAAACTCTCTCAATCTCCATCTTTGGTCTCCAAACTCTTTCTTATTCTCCCACATTGGTCTTCAAACTCTCTTCCTCTCCAACCGCTCCCCGCCGGGCCGTTACTCCGCGAATTCGCCACATATCTGGTAAGCGGCCATCTGTTGTTGCTGCTGCTGGGATTTGTGGAGAGTTATTCAACTCCTCACAATACTGTTGCAGCTCCAGGCCCCACCTGGCGATTCTTCCGAAAGGGCTTTCAATGCTGTTCAGTGCTCATTACCCCCTTGACCCGCGGTGTGACCAAGAAGTGTCGACTTCGGTTAGGCACAAACATTGGTGACCCCGAAGTTATCATTTACCAACAAAGGATCACACTCCAGCAACCCCCTTCCCACCAAAAGCTGAACCTCTGACTGGTGAGAAGACCCGTTAAGTTCACTACACGTACCCGCCCTGGAAACCATAGCTCATCCAGCTTCACAGGATACGCTTTTTCATCCAGGGTCACAGGATCGTCAGCTTAATCCAGCTTCACAAAATATGCTTCATAATCCATCGTCACAGTATCGTCAGCTTAATCCAGCTTCACAGGATACGCTTCGTCATCCAGCGTCACAGAATCGTCAGCTTAATCCAGCTTCACAGGATACGCTTCTTTATCCAGCGTCACAGGATCGTCAGCTTAATCCAGCTTCTCAGGATACTCACCTTCATCCAGCTTCACAGGATCGTCAGGTTTATCCATGTCCATACTCAGCTTCATCCAGCTTCACAGTATATTCAGCTTCATCCAGCTTCACAGGATTGTCAGCTTCATCCAGCTTCACAGGATACTTAGCTTCATCCAGCTTCACAGGACACACAGCTTTATCCGGCTTCACATGATTTTTTATTTCCAAGACACACAATATGTCTACTTCATTCATAGAGGAAACAAGTCACACAAGAACCGATTTACACAATCGATTACTATATAACCAAAATGAGTTACAAGAACATATCCAACAGCTCATAAAGAATTATGGCAAGGATTCGGTCGAACGACGCCACCGAGACGGCTATTATTCCGGTAAGCTAAATCAGCTAAACGATCTCTGGCAGCAGTTTTGCGACCTAGATGAAGAAGTCCAACAAGCGGCATTACCCACTGGAAGTGAGTACTCTTCACGACTAGTAGCAGTTAAGTTTACTTCAAGATCACAACAGGAGATCAAGTCAACGGAGACTCCGACAGTTGCAGAGAAGATGCAACGAATTGGAATCATCATTAACATTAGCCTCGAACGCGTTACTGCATATGAGTAAGATAAAATAAAACCTCTATATAATGTAGATTGTACGCTAAAGAATCTAAGTTTAGACTAGAACAAGCATTTAAGAGAGCTAGATTAATGCTAGAATTTCATAAAAAGAAACAAAAAATTAGATATGACAACAATACCTTAAATTTTGATTTAAAAATAGGAGATCAGGTTTAATTGAAAAATGAAACAGGGCATAAGCTAGACTTTAAATATACTGGACCTTATAAGGTTGAAAGTATAGAAGAAAACGATAACACAGTAATTTCAAAAAACAAAAATAAAAAACAAACAGTACATTAGGATAGGTTAAAAATTTGTATTTCATAATCACTTTAATTCTCTTATAAATATATCACGTATGGCCATACATAAATTAAGAACCATAATTATAATGGAAATATAATACAAAATTAAAAAAAAGAAAAAATACCAAAAAAAAAATAATACTTTCTGATTCGAAAAAAAAATAATAAATTAAATAAATAACACAAAAAAAATAAAAATATTTATATATTATTATAAAACAAGATGTTCATTTATATTTCATATACATATAGTTATTTTATTTATTTATTATTTTTTAATATTTTTCAAAAGGAGGGAGATGTAGTATGAATCTATCATTGTAGCGAGTACCCACTGTACCGACACCAACATTGTGTTACAGTGTACTTAAACAAATTCAAAAGTGCCGGCCGCAAAACTTTTGCCATTGTGATATTGTTTCTTATTTTATTTTCTATTATGCTTGAACTATCATCAGAATACAATATATTATGGATATAATTTATTTCTTAAAGACCATCATTACTATTGCTCTACCTAGTATTGGGTGTTCGTCTACTACTGATCTAACTTGTACAGCTGGAATGGTGGATAATATTATTCCCTTTTGGGTGCTTGTGCAATGTATTAGTGGAGAAGCATCTAAATTAAACGTTTTAATATATAAATTTTCTAAATCATAAATGCTTACTAAAGTTTCTGAAACTTATTGCAGAATTCTTGCTTTAAAATGAGGGTCCCTATCATATGTATCTCTAATTGCCTTTAGTGTAACCATTTTTAGTTAATATCTTCTTACTTATTTATTTTTATTTTATTCCATTTTCTTAAATTTTAAAATTTGATTACAGAATTATTTTTCTATTAATGTTGTTTGTGCTATATATTTTTTTAAATTTTGTCCAATATACATATATTTATTTTTAAGACATTTATTACGCAATTTATACAGTTTATAGAAACAATTTGGGCACATTATAACAACAATTATTATTAACAATGTGTGTATTAATTCTAAGTCATTGTTATTTGACTCTACTTTATTAATAACATTTGTAGTGGAATCCACTGTATGGGTTGGTATTCTTAAAATGTATCTTGGTCTGTCAAATATTTTAGAGTTTTGAATTGATTCGTAAGTTTTGTTAATGTTATTCATTAACAACTAGTTCGATTTGAATAATTTAGATTTGACTGTTTGGACCCAGAATTATTATATTTTACATATAATTTCCTGCCTATTTATACCCGTTACTCGTAGAGTAAAAGGGTATACTAGATTTTTCGGAAAGTATGTAACACGCAGAAGGAAGCGTTTCCAACCCCATAAAGTATATATATTCTTGATCAGGATCACTAGCCGAGTCGATCTAGCCATGTCCGTCTGTCCGTCTGTCCGTCCGTCCGTCCGTCTGTCTGTCTGTCCGTATGAACGCTGAGATCTCGGAAACTATACAAGGTACAATACTGGGATTAGGCATGCAGATTTCTGAGATTCCTGCGCAGCGCAAGTTTGTTTCAGCAGAGTGCCACGCCCACTCTAACGCCCACAAACCGCCCAAGTCTGCGGCGCCCACAATTTTTATGCTTTACCTAAAAATCCAAGAGGGCACAGCCTGGGCAAAGGCGGTAATCCCAGACTTCGACATCGCTATGACCACCAGCAACAAGCGAGAGAGGTCGATGGAGACAGCTCAACCAGCGAGCAAGAAGGCCAGAGTAACCAACCGCGGCACATAGTCGAGATCCCTTGCTAAAGTAGTAAGGGATCGGAAGATCATTGGAGTCATCGACCAGATCGATGAAGGCGGAAGGATCCCAAGGAACCAATGTGGTCTGGTTAGACGGGCCCTTGCGTCAGTGGCCTTGGAAGTGCTGGACGAAAACCCAGGTCCGCCACCCGATTGCACAGATGCGGGGTGGTACCAGGGCAATGTTAACTTGACCGCCTGTGAAGACGAGAGATTGGCAGCACTCTACAAGGCTGCCACTAACAAGGTTGGCGATGTTTACCCCGCGGCCAAGTTGGCAGTTTGCGAGGTCGCTGACATCCCGTCTCGACCGAGAACGAGGGTGTGGCTGCCGTCGGAACCTTCGGAACCAGACGCTATACACAGCTGCTGGCCAGGTTTAAGCCGAAACTTCTAACAAACGGTTGGAAGGTTGTCAAAGTGGAGAAAACCGAGCGCGTCACCATGAACGTGGTAATTCTCTTGAACCAGGACTGCTTGCAACCCCTCGCAGCCCAACAAAACCGGGTGAACTACGGTTTCGATAAGGTGCAACTACGCATCTACGACACAGATAAGCTAGCGGCAGACAAACTGGCTGCCTGTGCGTCATACGAACCCCCGAGCGGCGACGAATTGGAGCATGAGGAGGCCACCCTCAATGGCTACGTGTCAACCGACTCGGAGCTGACAGAGAGCCTGAAGCAGCTGTGCACTCAGGACATAGCCCGACCAGGCGTACTGTTCTCCAGGATATAGCGGAGGAAGGGGAGGGTACCCAGCCCGACCACGGTCCTAAAGATGGTGCAGTTCCTGCAGATTAACCTGCACCATAGCAAGGCGGCATCCGCTGCCCTCCTCACCCGCCTGGCAACAGGCAACATAGACGTAGTCCTCATTCAAGAGCCATGGATTGTTGGCAACAACATCTGTGGCTTATCAACCCCCCTCTACAAGCTTTTTTACACCAAGGATAAGGGTAAAACAAGAACCTGCATTCTTACAAGGACACACTTAAACACGTTTCTTATTCCACAGTTTAGCGAAGGCGACCTCACCACGGTCAGATGGAGCTAAACAAAAAAAACACTCATCACACCATAGCATCATTCTATCTGGCTCACGACTACGAAGGGCCTCTACCAAACACCACTACACAACAACTCATACATACACACTCACCTAAGGAACTCATCCTGGGTGGGGACGCTAACTCACACCACACACAACTAATATCTGATCCCCTACTTAACCAGCTAGAAGCGTGGAAGGTGGGGATCGAGCACTCATTCTCAGACCACCGATACATAAAGTTTACAAAAACTATAGACTGTCCTCCCGCCGAAAACATTACTAATCTAAGATTAACCAACTGGGGATACTTCATAAATCTCCTCAGCAGGAACCTACACGCTCCAGCGCACGTAAGCAACGGTCAAGAATTAGATACCCTAGTTAACACTTTTACTGATATCTGCGGTGAGGCCTTAAAAAGGGCTTGCCCAAGCAGAACAGTCAAAGCAAAGCACAAACATTCATGGTGGAACGCAACCCTTCCGAACCTTAAAAGAGAGTGTAGAACTTACTTCAATAAAGCTAAATACAACAATAGCCAATCTTCCTGGAATTTATACCATACAAAACTAAGCCTAAACATAAAGGAAATTAGAATATGAAAACGAAGAGCTTGGGCTAATTTCTGCAGTAGCATAGAATCTACTGCGGAAGCATCCAGACTCAGAAGAATTTTAGCAATATCTCCAGCAACCATTGGCTATCTAAAAACCAATGCTGCCAGCTGGACGGAAAGCAGTCAGGAAACCCTTGAAATACTGTTAGACACCCACTTCCCTAAGAACACCCATGTAGTGGAGGACCTCTACATAGATGAGAACTTAGACGACCAGAGTACAGATAACATCTCGAACCCTGGCCGCATTCAGTGGGCTGTTAACTCTTTTAAGCCCCTCAAACCACCTGGCCCAGATGGGCTCTTCCCGGCCCAGCTACAACGGAATATATATATTTTCCTACCCTGGCTGACAGCCATCTTCCACGGCTGCCTTGCTCTAAACCGTATTCCGACAAGGTGGCTGGACGTTAAGGTAATTTTTATACCGAAAGCCGACAAACCCTCCCACACCAACCCAAAGGACTTCCGCCCGATTAGTCTCTCTTCCTTCTTGTTGGAGACCCTGGAAAGACTAATTGACACCCATATCAGGCTAACCGTCGACCAAAGCCTACTCTCTGACGCACAGCACGAGTACCGTAAGGGCAGATCAACAGATACCGCCCTCCACTCTCTAGTATCCAGTATAGAGAGAGGTTACTCTCTGGCAGCGTTTCTAGATATAGAAGGCGCCTTTAAAAACGTCACCCCAACGGCGGTTACTAGTGCTCTGACTGAACTGGGCACTGAGCGGCCCATAGTGGGACTTATA